TGCTTATAATGTTCTGTATCTTTCTGGTGCCTGTTGTGATGTTTCCCCTTTCATCTCTGATTTTTGTTGATTTGGAGGTGCTCTTTCTTTCTTTTGCTTAACTAGTCTAGGGGTCTGTCAATCTTGTTTATCTTTTCAAAGAATCAGCTCTTGGAATTGTTGATTCTTTGTATTGTTTTCTTTGTTTCTATTTCATTAATTTCTGCTCTGATTTTTGTTACTTCTTTTTGTCTGCTGGCTTTAGGTTTCATTTTTTGTTGCTTTTATTGAACATGAACTTTTCCCAAGTATTCACTATTTGCATTTCTTCTTCTGTAAATTATTTTTGTGGCTGTTTATTTATTGTGGTCAAACATACATGACATACAATCTGCTTTTCCAACCACTGAGAAGTGTGTGGCTGCTGTTTGGATCTTGATGTCCCCCAAATGCTTACTCGTTGAAGGCTTTGTCCCCAGCCTGTGGTGTTAATAGGAGGTGCTTGATCCTTTAGGAGGTGGGGCCTAGTGGGAGGAAGTTAGGTCATTTATGTCATTAGGAATGTACCCCTGAGGGGGATAGTGAGGCACTGGTCTCCTTTCTTTCTTTCTTTCTTTCTTTCTTTCTTTCTTTCTTTCTTTCTCTCGCTCTCGCTCTGTGTCTCTCTCTTCCTCCCCCTACCTGCCATGAGGCGAACAGATCTGCCATGATGTGTCACATCTAAAACCTCTGAACCTGTGATCCAAAATAAACCTTTCCTTTTTATAAGCTGATTTTCTCAGGTGCTTTGTAGCAGTGATAAGTTCTAAGATGTAAAGGACATTCCTGTGGTTTACTTCTATAACCACCTTCCATCTCCAAAACTTTTTCATCTTCCTGTACTGCAACTTACACACTAAATATTACCTCTGGAACGCTCCCTCAGCCCCTTGGCACCCACAATCCACTTCCTGTCTCTATGAATCTGAGAACTCTAGAAGCCTCATATTTAGTTTTTTAAACATTTAGTGTGTGCCTGTGTGTGTGTGTGTGTGTGTGTGTGTGTGTGTGTGTGTGTGTGTATGCCTGTAAGTGCATGCACACGCACACAAAGGCATGCTTGTGGACACCAGATAACTTGCCAGGGTTGGTCCTCTCCTTCTACCACGTGGGTTTGGGAACTGAACTCAGATCATCAGACCTAGGGGCAAGTGTCTTTACCCACTGAGCCATCCCGCTGGCCCAGTATGTGCCATTTTGTGGTTGGCTTATTTTACTTAGTAAAATGTCTTCAGGTTTCATCCATGTTTCGGTCTGTCCCCGGATGTGTATTCGAAGGCAGACTTGTGTCTCACTGTGCGTCCAGATAGAGCTTGTTTGCTCATTTCGTCTGTCTACTTAGCTGGCTCCATTCACGTTTTCACTGAGGCCTAATGAGTTTTCTTGTCACTCTGTGTGAACTCTGCATCAGTTAAGCACGTCCACCCCTTGTCAGCTTGTACTGCACTGAGTGAGGGGATGTGGACTATTTTTCCCCTTCCGTTCGGGTAGAAGGCATCTTCGCGGGGTGAAGTTTCAGAGAATTGCCTGACAGAGCTGATTGTGGGTCTCCTTGATCTCTAAACCCTGGGAGTGTTACTAATGGATGATAACCCAGCTTACATCCAGTGACCACTGTGTGCAGCCCCCTCCCTCTGTGCCACTTTATACAGTAAGACACACCATCTACTCAACAGCTCTAAGGTTTGGAGCAGACAATGCTGTTCTTTTTTATCTGGAAGCAAGCGGAGGCTTAGAGGGTCACGTGGCGTGACCAGGGCCCGATCTGGTAGGAAAGGAGTAGGGATTTTAGCAGGGGTGTTTGTGTCATAACACCTGGAGGACCCCTGGCTCATAGTCCAGATCCTGCTGCCTAAGGTGCTAGCTGAAATTGCCCAAGGCTGAGCCCCAAGCCAGCTCTCCCAGACACCAGAGTGAGTGACAGCTGATGACATCAGCCACTGAGCACCTCAACCCTCCTCCCCACCACAGCCCTGCTCCCCAGCCCTGTGTGGGGAATGCATACATTTGACCTCCTATTTGGGAGCAAATGTGGACACGGCCAGCTGAGGTAACTGTGCAGTTGTTTTCTAAATCCCCTGGGCGCCACTGGCTGTTGTCATCTGAGTCCTACCCCACTTTGTGGGTTCCATAGACTTGAGTGGAAATAATTTGATGATCAGTTCCCACAGTGGACTCTGTGTCAAGTTACTGGCTACAAATGCAGGCCATGGGACTCACTTTCCCTCACTTCCCAGCTTGTCTGTGAAGTAGGTGTGAACAGTCCTTCTCTGTGTAGATGGGGACTGTAATTTTCCTCCTCCCTTCCTTCCCCTATTCCCATGTTTCCTGTTCCATGCCTGGCCTAGAGCCTGGAACATGGAAGTCCTGAAGAGGTGTCTCTCTTCTCTCCTCACCTGTCTGTGAATTCTCTGGCCTTGTTCTTATACAAGTTTGCAGGTATGGTAGACACGTGGGTGTTCCTGCAAAAAAAAAAAAAAAAAAATCTTGACACTTGCTAGTGTTTGTTGGTGAGAAATTCTCTGTCTCTGTGTGTGTGCATGAAAAAGAGAGAAAGAGGGGGGAGGAAGGAGATTGTGTGTGTGTAAGAGAGTTTGTATGTGTGAAAAAGACAATCTGAATATACGTATGTAAATTTGTATGTGTGAGAGAACTTGTATGTGGGAGTTTGTGCGAGAGACTTTATATGTGTGAAGATTTGTGAGAATTAATATGAAAGAGTTCATGTGTGTAAGTTTGTGTATCAGTTAGTTTGAGAGTTTGTATATGAGTTTGTGTGTGTGTGAGTGACAGACTGTGTGTATGTGTGAGAGACGTGTGTGTGTGTGTGTGTGTGTGTGTGTGTGTGTGTATGAGTCATGGGAGCAAATGTTTAAACTGGAACCTTTTCTCTTCCAAATGACTCTCCCAGAGAGGAATGTGATCTATTTGTGTTGAGGTGTTGTGAAGAAAATGTAGCTTGCAGAACAGTTGGGCCTGCATGTGTGCCCATACAGCCCAGTTCTCTTCACACAAGGTGCCTTGGCTGGAGCGTACGAAGTGTGATGCTTTCCTTCCAGCTGAAGGGACCATGCCGTGGAGTAAGATGCCTCAAAGCCAAGGCTGAGTAGAGGCACTGAGAGGAAAAGAACAACAGGGATGGGGCCAAAGCTGCAGCAGTGGGGAAGAGCCTGCTACCCCATGCCCAGGGCACTGTGCCCTCCACTCAGTAGTCACTGTGGGGCCTGTGCCCGGAGAGACAGAGGCAGAGCCAGGAATGCCTCAGATGGTATCTGGCTCTACATCCTGGCCAGGCTGCCCAGGACTGTCTGGGAATCTGTTTACCCACAGCTTCCCCTTCTGTCTGCTAAGCCCTAAATCCCTGGGGCCTCCCTGGTATTTTCTCCCAGAATGGAACTAATCTTCTTTTAGCCCTTTCTGCTTCTTTCAAGGAAGCTGACGCCTGAAGGAGGCTTCTCTCTCTGTCCTGGGCCCACAGGAACTGAATTTCTCTGTCCCCAGTGACCCAGCCCGTCACACAGATGGGGGAGACCAGTGCTAACCGGGCGAGGGGAGGAGAGGGGAGAAAGATAAAGAGTAAAAAAACTGAAACCAGCCGGGCATGGTGGCACACACACATTTAATCCCAGCACTGGGGAGGCAGAGGCAGGCGGATCTCTGTGAGTTCAAGGCCAGCCTTCCCCCCCCCCCAAAAAAAAAACAAAACCAAACATGCTCCTGGCTAGTGTCCTTGTGTCTCAGGAGTGGTTTGCTTGAATGCTAACTTCAGGCACATGGGGAAAGAAAGTTGACTGGGCTCCGTGAGGGTAGAGAGTAAGAAACCCAGTGAGACAGAGACACTGTGCTTACCTCAGTAAACCAGAAGCAAGCCCATTAGCAGCCTTCCTCCATGGTCTGTGCTCCAGTTCCTGCCTCCAGGTTCCTGCCCTGAATTCCTGCCCTCACTTCCCTCAGTGATGGATTGTGACCTGGGAGTCATAAGATAAAATAACCCCTTTCCTCCACAAGTTGGTTTTGGTCCGTGTTTTATCACAGCAACAGAAAGCTGACTAGGGCAAACAGCCTGGGGAAAAAGGCAAGAGGAAGACGCCTCCCTGATCTAACACTCTGGAAAGAAACGGGAAGAGATGCTTCAGGGGTACCTATGATGGTTTGAATGAGAAACAGTCCTCCACCAGGTCTCCATTAGGTGGTGCGGTTTGGGGAGGTTATGGAGCCCTGAAGCAGGGGAAACTTGCTGGAGGTGGAACGTCAGTGGGAGCCGCTCAGAGTTTGTGTCCTCACCCCAATTCCAGTTCACCGTCTGCTCCATGTTGGCAGTTGAGATACGATCTCTCAGCTTCCTGCTCCAGCCGGCCCACCTTCCCCACTGTTATGGACTCTCCCTCTGGAACCATAAGCCAAAACAAACTTCCCCAAGTTGCTTTTTGGTCATTGTGTTTTGTCACAGTGACAGAAAACTAACTAGTACAGTGCCCATAACTGGTGTGCCATTGTGCCACAGTTATTTATCTGGGGCACCATTTGCCTCATGTCCTGTGTAAATGGTGCCCAGAGGGGACACATATGATGGGACACCATTAGCCATGCAGTACAAGGGATCGTAGAATTAAAATGTGAGGATCACTGAAGCACTTGGGGTCCGTCCTGGGCCAGGCTCTTGGCAGACTCCATGGGCCATGGCCCTGGCCTCAGGAGGCCGTTATGTTCCCATGGAGGGGGCATGCTGTGTTACATCCAACACCAGCAGGGTCGAAGAGAAAACAGCCTGGGATGCAGTGAGACTGTCAGGATGGAGGGAGCTCAGACGGAGGCTTCAGTGGTGGTTTGACTGTCTTAGGGAAGATGGTGTGGAGGAGACCCCAGAGCAACAGGTGACTGAACCAAGTGTCCTGTTCTTGGGAGCAGCTCTTGCTCTCAAAGTTTTGGGAGCCCTCGAACAGGACTACTAACAGGATCCCTCTCTCTCTATTTCTCTGCAGCCTTCGATACCCCAGGTCCCAAATTACAGGCTGTCGATGACCATCCCAGACTGGCTCCAGGCCATTCAGAATTACATGAAGACACTACAGTATCCTTCTAGCTAGGGGCTGGGTACCACAGACAAGGGGTGGGCACAGAGATTACAAGCCTGGTGGCATGTCTGTCCCCAGCTGGTTATCAGAAACTCTATGGTTGGTGGGGCCTGATGTGGAAGTTCCTGGGTGACAGCCTCAGTCAGTGATAGCAGTGTAGAAATGACTTTTACAATATGGACACAATCTGACCTAAAGATCTTTACTTAACCTCAGAACGGAAAAGGTTTACTCTTTATAATGTAAACAAGCTCACGGAGCCATGTGTTCCTCTTGTGACCCGGACATCTGACCTTAATCCCTCAGGACCCACTTTGCCCTCCACCCAAGACAGGGAATGGATATGGGTATGCTTGTTAACCTGTTATAGCACTAAACACAGCATTTTCTCATTGAAAGCAGTGAGAAAAATTGAGAAGTCTGTGTGAGACATGTTAGACCTAGGGGTCAAAGGGCAAGGGTCCCTGACAAGGGTGGATTCCGGGTTTTACTTACCCAATTGATGCCAGAAATGCTGTTCAATAAAAGTATGAGTGAAGAGCCGGGCAGGCATGGTGGCGCACGCTTTTAATCCCAGCACTTGGGAGGCAGAGGCAGGCCAATCTCCGTGACTTCGAGGCCACCCTGGTCTACATAGTGAGTTCCAGGCCAGCTGGGGCTACAGGGAGACCCTGTCTCAAAAAGACCAAAAAAAAAAAAAAAAAAAAAAAGCTTGAGTGAAGCCCGGTCCACTCTTGGCCTTAAAATGAAAAGCTGAGAGTCAGGCTATCTCTTTATTCATCTGTTTAACTGTGCCTTAGAAACATCACAGCGGAGGCTGTGACCAGAATGAACAAGCCATGTTGCTTCAAGCACAGTGGCAGTCAGGAGGCGGTGGCGGGGCGATATTTCTCCATCTGTCCTCCCTGGGGTCCCCTTTTTCTTCAATGCCTTCCTTTTTCTCCACTTCCTCCTCCTTGATCAGGTCGCTCCTCTTCTTCCTCCCCTGGATCCCCTTCCCTCTCCCTCCTGTTCCATTCCTCTCCTTCCTCCCCTGGATCCCCTTCCCGCTCCCTCCTGTTCCATTCCTCTCCTTCCTCCCCTGGATACCCTTCCCTCTCCCTCCTGTTCCATTCCTCTCCTGGATCCCCTTCCCTCTCCCTCCTGTTCTGTTCCTCTCCTTCCTTCCCACTTCTTTTTCCTCATGCCTGCCCTCATAATCTCAGAAGACCCATCTGACACTGCCTGTGGTTTCCAGAACCCCAGGCGTGATGTTGCCCAGCTCTGCATGAACAGTTGGGGCTCTGCAGTGGGGCCCCTCCAACCTGAACTTAAAGAACTACCAAGAAGCCCTGTGGGTTCAGGCTGCGTTCGGTCCTGTCAGGCTTTTGGCTTCCCTCTCTGGTGTTTTCATTCCAGGCTAGTTCGGTTCTTGGGTCTCTCAGAAGCAGCACCATAGGGACAAAGGGGCACAAGTGATGTCCACTTATTGCTTTTGGTATTTTATCAGACAGGATTCAGAGGGAAGCTGGCCCCAGTGCACCATCCTGGATGTCACTCCTCGTTGATTTTAGCCTTCCTCCTTGACATAGGTTGCCCCAAAGAGCCCCAAGCACATTGGCTTGCTTTCTGTTTCTTCCCCCCAAGCCTTGAGGCTGAAAGAGCTTGAAGCACTGAGCCCATGTTCCCCTCCTCTCTGAAGCACTGAGCCCACGTTCCCCTCCTCTCTGTGGTCGGCAAGAACTTTCCTTGTGTTTCTTCTGAAGGTATCAGACAGCAGCATCTTCCAGGACTGGGTGGCACCAGTTTCTATACGTTAAGGTGGAGCGGTTACTTGATCAGCCTTTCAGTTCTGCCTCGAGTCATCACCTTCCTACAAGGCATCTTCCCCATGTAGCCCAGGCTGCCTCATTAGGCGACCCTAGCTCCAGCCTCCAAAGAGATGCTGACAACCGCAGCCCTGTCAAAGCTATTGGGTGTTGGTGCTGATCTCCAAACTGGGACCCTCACATTAGTGTCCAGAGACACAACGCCTGTCCGAATAGACCTGGATCCCAAGAGAAGACCTTTTCTGAATTGTGACTTACTGCTCACTGCACATTCCAGGCAGTAGACTCCCACTTCTTACTAGCACAAGGCCCTCCCAAGGAAGCCAGGATTCCAGAGGAGAGCCTGGTTGAGCTGCATCAATACGGACACTTCCCATGTGCTTTTCACAGCATTTGCTCATGCTATGGTAAAAGCTACTGCAGATGCTCAGCCCAGTCCTTACTGTCGCTTGGAAGGGTCTCTGCTTTTTTAGCCCCAGCTTTGTAGACCAGGCCGGCCTCTGCCTCACAGATTCACTTGCCTCTGCCCCTCAAGTGCTGGGATTAAAGGTGGGCACCACCACATCTGGCCTTTGATGGGTCTGCTTTTTAATTTTTTTTCTCTGATCCATTATGATGGCCATTCACCTAAATTACTGATAGTAGGAGCTGGCTGTGAAAAGCCCCAAGAGGCTGTGGGGATGGTGCTCCTGGTCACTGGGGCTTTGCCACCATCATCGGGGGAGGCAGAGTGGAGACACTTTTCCTTCTGAGCTGGTCCTTTGTGGTACCCTACTGTTTTGTCTTGGACACAGGTGCAAGGGGGACTGCTCGGAGCCATACCCGGCTATAGCTGTGTTCAGCTGCCAGTGGGGTCATGAGGCCCAGTCTTGCCTTCCCCCAGGACAGCATGTGAGTGGCAGTGAACCACAGTGCTGGTTTTTTCAGGCTTCTGGAAAGGGGTGTCCTGTGACTCTGCCAGTTGGGTGAAGCCTGCTCTGGCGCCTCTCGCTCAGTGCAGGGGAGGCACCAGGGAGACTGTCCCTACCACTTTTCCAGGAGCTTAGCTGTTAATTACTAAGAACTAAGAGAAGATGGTCAAGCAGCTTTTCGTTATTTAATATGGATTTATCTTACTTTGTACTGACTGAATTCTACTTTAAAGACACTGGGGGGCGGGGTTCAGGGAGTAGAGAGATGTCTCAGAGGTTAAGAGCTCTGGCTGTTCTTGCAGAGGACCTGGGTTTGGTTCCTAGCACCCATGGTGGCTAACAACTCTCCCTAACTCCATTTCCAGGGCATCCGATGCCCCCTTCTGGCCCACTCAGGCATTGCATAACATGGGTGCACTTACATACATGCAGACAATATACATAAAATAAAAATAATTTTTTAAAATAAGATTTTTGTTTAAGACAAAAGAACAAAACATACAAAGCAAGTTTTCTTTGAGGTTAAAAAAAACAGTCAAGACTGAGTCTCAGAAAACATGGTATCAGTGGGGCTGGTCTCTTCAGAAGAACCTGGTACGGGACTGCTAGCACCTGAGAACTGGGTGATCATTCAAAATCCAGATGTGGATAATGGTGCCATCTATTAGATTAGTCATGTCAAGTGCCGTCCAGGCATGAAATAGATGTTTTCACAGTAAGTTCTATGTGCTATTGAAAGACCTTCCTGCCATTCATCCATCCTCCATCTCTCCATCTTCCCTTCCATACATTATTAGCGCGTTGGTCAGTCTATCCATATGTACATAAACCATCTATGTTTCCTTCCATTCTCCCACCCATCCACCTATTTTCCCATTCATCTGTCCTTCCTTCCTTCATCCATCCATCCATCCATCCATCATCCATCCATCCATCCATCCTTTCATCCACCCACACATCCTTTTTTTTTTTTTTTTTTTTTTTTTTTTTTTTTTAAAAAAAAAAAAAAAAAAAAGAGGACGATAAATCTTTCACTGTGATATATCAAAATAAAGCTGGCCTGGATTTGCTATGTAGACCAGGCTGGCCTTGAACTCACAGAGATCCTCCTGCCTCTGCTTTCTGAGTGCTGGGATTAAAGGTCCATCCATCCATCCTTTCACTTATTTACCCATTGAGCTACCCACCCATCTGTTCATTTACTCTCATTTATTTTTGTTTTTTTTTTTTAAACTCAACAAGGCAGATTTTACTTTTCCAAAAGGGTGCCTTGAATGGTCAGGCAGATCCAGTGAGTATACAGAGGACCCAGAAACCTGGTGGGGTTTTATCCCTAACATAAGAGAAGTGGGTCTGTTCCCCCATTGACCGGGGTCTTCCCTCCCAGTTTCTCCCAGTGACTAGTTTAAAAGAATCTTCCAGAAGGGAGGAGAGATCCACTACTCCAAGCCATCAGGACATTCCTGTGCATCAGGGTTTTCCTTAAACAAAAGTCTTACAGGTTGGGGTAGGATTAAAAGATTAGAATTCCTAGTCATAAGCCAAGTTCCAAGTTTTACAGGGTTTGAATGAAAAGACTATTATTTAATATTTATCTGTTTCTTACAAATCCCTCCTTTTATTTTCTTAAACACTTTTTCTTTCAAACTCATTAAGGCATTGCTTCTCTTTCTGTGATATCTTGGAATAAGAAACTGCCATAGGGAGGGGACATTCATTTGGTAATAGCTTGACTCAATAAGCCTGAGTTAGGTCCCAATCACATGGTTTAACACAGGATCAGGACACCCATCATGATTATCAAGGAAGGTAGCATGGAGTGTCTTCATTTTCTAAACCGTTCTTCCAGGAGCTCAGCGTTTCCAGATTTTTAGTTCTTTATATAAAGTGCCTTAAGGCCTTAGAGTTACATTTGGAGTTGTGTTGTTGGGGATGATCTACAACCTTGTTCTCCAGCATTATATAGGTCCCATCTTCTTCAGCCTAAATCATGTCTAACCCTAACCTATTCTCCAAAGGCACTTTTCAGTAGAACTGATGGGGACATAAGGTATGGCAGTCATGGTTTCCCTCCAGCGAGCCGCTCTAAAAGGCTCCAAAAGTGCATCCGTGGCTTTGTTTGTATAACTGCAGGATGAAGGTTCATTTAATATTTGGTATCTTGCATGTTGGTCTTCTTCCAGGCCTTCTGGGTGATCTAAAGATGATAAAAGGATGGTCCCCTAAGTCTCAAAGAGCTTCAAGTCTAGTAGGTGAATTAAGACACATCATCAACTAACCAGGATGCAGATCAGATTGAAATGAAGTATTATAAAGGTCAATGGTGCATTGAGGCTTCAGTAAGAAATTAGGTTTCCATGGCAGGACAGTGAGGAGTCAGAGGCTGCCTACTGGCCACTTCTGAAAAATAACCCCTTCCTCATCCTATCGAGAGATGAGAATGGGTGTGGGCCTCTGCTGGGTGACCGGGATTTCGGAATTTCCGTCGTTTCCCTTTACGCACCTCACACAGATACAATCACACGGGGACCCAGTTCTTTGAAATTAGGAAAATGAGACCGCTGAGTGGGTAAGTAGTGCATGACCTGTGGACCAGGTGACTTCTGCCTGTGAGCTGCCTGTGTCCTCTCTCTACCTCTGTCCCTGTCTCCCAGAGCTCCAATAGGGGAGGGGGTGAAGGTGCACCAGGAACAGGTTGGTTCTTGACAGCTAAGTTCAATGGTCAAGACCAACTCTTGGGATGGAAGAGGCTTGTAAAACTTGGCTTATGTGGCCTCCTTTCTTGTTTCTTTGTAAGTCCCTGTGCCCAGGCTGAGAGGATGCCATGGAATGCAACACTCCTCTCTGGGGGGGTGCAAGGTTGGTGGGGACTAGAGAATCTCAGTCCTGGCAAGTGAAGATGTGTTTTGAGGTCTTCCTGGGAGGTGAGGTCTCCCCTTCCCTCTGGATATCTGCATGATGCTTAGTGTGGAGACAGCTGTGCTGACAGACTGACAGATAGTTGGGGTGGACTACATAATTACACAAGTCTTGAGATACCCTGCTGTGTTCTATCCCACAGGTTAATGGAAACAGCAAAAGAAATGACCCGAGAGTCCTTGCCTATCAAATGCCTTGAGGCTGTCATCCTGGGCATGTATCCTTTAAGTTGTGCAGTCACTCTCTGACCCTGCTCTGGAGATAGCTGAGCCTTTGCCATCCCAAAATCAGAGTGATGGGCGTTGGCTCCTTGGAGGAAGGTGTCAGACCCCCTGGGGCTTCTCTTTAACGTTTACCATCTGGAGTTGAACAAAATCTCTGCTTGGATCCTTGGACCAACATTCGTCTAACCTGCTAGCCGCGGCTCTGTCGGGGCCAGCTGTCAAGCCAGTGCCTGCAGACCCCTAGTCATGAGGCAGGGTCTAACTCAGAAGGTGTAGAGGCACTGTGGTACTTCCTTGCATTAACCAGACATTGCCATAAGAAAGACATTGAGAAGTTGAGACAGGGCCAAGAGGGCAAATGTCCAAACCCATCTCCGGGGGAAACACAAGAGCAGATTGTGGGGAAGGCCAGGTGCTGGCAGTGCGCTGTGACGAACCCCAGTGGACTTACTGATGGTGATGGCATCTGAACATGACCAGATAGAAGAGCAAGTGCCGGGTCCTGCTGGGGTAAACAGCTGGAGAGACTGCGGTGATGGAAACAGAGCAAGGGATGAGTTCAGCAGTCAGCCCCAGGTGAAAGCTACAGGTTCTTGAGCAAAGTGACTTTTCTAGAGCGCTCTGGAGCCGTGGAGTGATGTGGTCTCATGGTAGATGTTCGAGTCACTTTCTGAAGGAGCACGCGACAGGCCAGGCTGGAGAGGATAGGCTGGATTTACAGAGCCCACTGGGTACTCTTAGAGGAGGGAATGTTGACACTTGGACCAGGACCCTCACAATGGACTGTGTTGGATGAAGTGGTTTCCAGAGATGCCAGGAGATCATGTGTACAGGACTTGGAGGCCAGCTGGACTTAAGAATTGACAGGGAGTCTACCAATACAGGCTACCTCATTAGGCCACAGACAAAGGAGATGGGCCTGGGGAGTCAGAGTGACAGGGAGGTCACATGCAGACTGGTACTGAGGCAGAAGCAGTGAAGGTGGAGGGGAAGGGTTGCAAGTATATGAGCCACACCATGTGGACTGACTCGATTGAGGAGGTAAAAGAGCAGACGGTAGACCCCTCCCTCCCTGTTTCTGTCTTGCATAGTGATGCCACAGCCCAATGGGAGGACTGCATGGGGATGGGACACTGAGACTGTGGGGTTTCTGAGGAGGATCTATGCTGAGAATACAATTTGAGTGCTGTGAGTACTGGGGAGGCAAGTTCAAGAATACTAGGGTCACAGGGTTGCGGGGACGCACACCTTTAATCTCAGCACTTGGAAGCAGAGGCAGGCAGATCTCTGTGAGTTCAAGACCAGCCTGGACTACATAGTTCGAGGCCAGCCAGGGCTACATAGTTATACCTTGTCTCAAAAAAAAATTTTTTTTAAAAAGAGGAGCAGAAAATGATCATGGATGAATCTCAGTGTTGTTTATCTAGGTGGACACAAAGAACCCAGGCAGAGGCTTAAGGAAAATCAGAAATGAAGAAGGAAAACCAGGAGAGACAGGGTTAGGAGGTACACTTCCAAATTAGATGGGACAAGAGGGTGGTCTGGTCTGCTAGGACTCTGGGCTATGTGTGTGTAAGTATGTGTATAGGTGTGTGTGCTTGTGTGTGTGTGAATGTGTGCGTATGCATCCAGATTAGATAGGGACAAGGGGGTGGTCTAGTCTGCTAGGACTCTGGGATGTATATGGGTATATGTATACATCTGTGTGTGCATGTATATATGTTTATGTGTGTGTGTGTGTGTCTGAATTAGATGGGGACAAGAGGGTGGTCTAGTCTGTTTGCTAAGACTCAGGGATGTGTGTGTGTGTGTGTGTGTGCACATGTGTGAATGTGTGCATGCACACATGCAGAGAGGCCAGAGGCTGACATCCTCCCTTTCCTCACCCCCCCTTCATCTTGTGTGTGTGTAATGTGGATACACACACGCCCCAGCATGAGGTCAGAGGTCAACCTTGGGTGAGGGTTCTCATCTCCAACCTTCTTTAAGCAGGTCTTTTGGCTGTTCACCGATGTGTACACCAGGCTAGCTGGCCCAGGAGCTTCCAGGACTCTCCTGTCTGCTTCCTCATTTCACGGTAGGAACACTGAGATTACAGGGTAGTCTACCATTCCTGGCTTTATGTGAGTGCTGGGGATGTGAACTCAGGCCCTTATGCTTATATAGTGAGCATTTTAGTCACCAAGCCACCTCCCCAACCCCTCCTAGACATTTTCGTTTTGTTTTTGCTTTTTGAGGTGCCGGGGACTGAACTCAAAGCCTTGTAAATGGTAGGTAGACATTCACCTCACTGGGACTTCACTAACAATTCTCATAGGGATAGGGCTTTGTGCTGTGTGTGTGTGTGTGTGTGTGTGTGTGTGTGTGTGTGAGTGTGTGTCTGTGTGTGTGTGTGCGCATGTGTGTGTGTCTCTGTGTGTGTCTGTGTGTGTGTGTGTGAGTGTGTGTCTGTGTGTGTGTGTGTGCGCATGTGTGTGTGTGTCTCTGTGTGTGTCTGTGTGTGTGTGTGAGTGTGTGTCTGTGTGTGTGTGTGTGTGTGCGCATGTGTGTCTGTGTGTGTGTGCACATGTGTGTGTGTGTCTCTGTGTGTGTCTGTGTGTGTGTGTGTGAGTGTGTGTCTGTGTGTGTGTGTGTGCGCATGTGTGTCTGTGTGTCTCTGTGTGTGTCTGTGTGTGTGTGTATGTGCGCGCGCATGTGTGTTCTTGGGGATTGAACCCGCACCTGCTGCACCCAGTCTTTTCCACGGGGTGGGGAGTGCTGTGTTCTGTACCATCTGTGAAACTCCAGGTCTGACCTGAGCACGACTATCCCCTGGGGCCTTCACTGGCATTTGAGAAATGGCAACTTGAGCCTTACTGAGTCCCATCCCTGCCCTCCTCCCTGCTCCGCACAAGGGAAGATGTGGTGGGGAGTCCAGCAAGAGGCTGGGCTGGGGGGTAACAGCTAGCTCGGGGCCCCATTTTTGACTGGCAGGAATCAGCCACAGCTGTTGGGCAGTACCTCTTTCAAGTTTAATGGGAAGAGGAGTGGGCTGGAGACCTGTTCCTGGAAGCCAGTGGAGAACACAGGCCTGGGCCCTTCCCTGGAGGACAAGCTTGGCTCAGACCTTTGCTGCTCCTTCCGAGTGTACCTGGGTGTACGGGCCACCTGTCCTTTGGATACGAGTGCAAATCTGAGCATCATGCCCCTGGAGCTACCTCCAAGCCTTGGGGATTGTGGAGATAGATCCAGGACACCTCTCTGGGCCAGTGCTCTTGATTTTCCTTTGTTCTTTCCTGTGTGACATTTCAGAAAGGCCAGGGCAGGTGGGGAACGTGGGAGACTCAGCCTGCACTGCTGAACTCAAGGGAATCGACGCTTGGTGTAGACACATCTGAAGTCACAGCATCTTTGTCCTTGCTCTGTGTCAGTTCTCTCATGTCCTGTTTCCCCTGGGAATGGGGAGGGAGGTTGGGGTCATGGCCAGTGTCTCTTCGAGAGCATTCCACAGTCCTGGGAAACTATGTTGCCTTGACAATTTGGAAGTTGGTGGGTTTGGCTGGTCACCTGTCCCTCTTGTTCCCCACCCCCCTCTCGTGTACACATTGTTGTTGTTTGATTTTTGTTTTGAGGTAGGATCTTCTCACTGGCCACAACCAAGTAAGCCAGGCACTGGTCAGCTTCACCTTCCCAGCCCTGGGATTACAAGTGTGAATTCTGGTGATGGAATTTAGGTCTTTGCGCTTTACCAACTGAGTCATCATCCCAGCCTGTGTCTGCTCTTCTGACTTCAGAGTTCAGAGTCCTGAACTGACACCTGGTACCCTGCTCAGCATGTGTGTGCACTTTCACATGCATGCTGGACATGTGGTTCTTAGGTTCCAAATTCTTTTCTAAATCAAGGCACCTGTTTTGGAGGAGCAGCTGACCACGGTGAGCTTGTTCGATGGAGTGCAGGACTGTGGTCAAAGGCCTGGATGACTGAGAGGCAGGCTCAGCATCTCTACCCTGCGGGCTGGAAGCTAACATTTTCCAGGGAATGTGGGTGCTGCTGTTCTCCCTTCCCTGGCAAAGCTCAGGCTGCTTCCAGCCCTCGTCCTTCCACTCCTCCCTTTCCACGGCCAGTGTCGAGGTGTTGTGATTGCCAGAGTGATGGGATAAACCTTAGGGATGAGTGACCTGTGGCGTGACAGAAGAGTGGGCTCCTCTCTGCTCTTCCCAGTTCCACTGGCTGGACTTGCTGCTTTTACAGCATCCGTCACATTCTCTGTCACTTTGTTTTTACCATGGGAAACATTCACAGCAGGAATTCACCATCGCAGCCCCTTTGCAGAGTGGAGTTTGGCACACTCGCCAGGCTGTGCAGCCAGACGTGATGGCTCACAACTATCATCCCAGCATTCAGGAGGCTGAGGCAGGAAGATTGAAAGTCCCTGGCTGGTCTGGGCTACACACTGAGTTCAAGGCCAGTCTCAGGTATGTAGACCCTGTCTCAAAGCAAAAAGTACCCATAATGCTATGCAACCTCACTGCCATTCTTCTCCAGAGCTTGTCCATCTCTCCAACTGCAGCTGTGCACCCTCTGGATCCCTGCCCCTCACCCCCAGCAGCTCTGTACCCACAGTGCCAGTCAGCGTCGCTGGGCCTTTGGCTACTCCGCCTTCCCTTCCTAGAATGGCTCTTGCTGCTCCTGTATTTCAGACAGTTTTTGTGTTTCGTATTTGCTCTTTTCACTTAGCTCAAGGTCTTCAAGATTCAGCTGTGTTGTCTCATGTTGCCGTGTGTCCTCCTTAAAGGCTGACTAGTTCATCTATTAATGTATGAATACGTGAAAGATCTTATTACCTTGTCTGCTTATTCACCGAAGGACATTCAGATTGTTTCCATCTCTTTTGCTGTTATCAACAATGTTGTGACCATGGTGTAGGAATTTTGTTTGAGTCCCTGATTCAGTTCTGTTGTACATGTGCTCAGGAGAACTGCTGGACCATGTAGCAATTCTGTTTTATTATTTGGTCACCATGTGTCCATTTCGAGTCTGTCTACCATCGGATCTCCTCTTGTTCCACAGCTCTAGCTGACAGGCTGACAGGCATGGGGACACTTTCTCCTAAGTGCTGGTTAGTGACCTAAACAAGTGAAGAACGCAGTATTGACAGCCCCGGGGAACTCACTGTAGAGGGTGGGTAGGAAGTGGAATGAGAGGCCTCAGAACAGGTGGCTTCACCCACTTTCTGTAGTCCCACATGCCAAAGGGAAGTGCAAACGGGAGCATTTTATTTATTTTTTTAAATATTTTATTATTTTATTTTATGTGTATGTGTGTATTGCCTGCATGTAGGTAAGTGCACCTGTGTCATGCAATGCCCGTGGAGGTCAGAAGAGGCTATCGGATCCCCTGGAACTGGAGTTGTGGACAGTTGTTAGCTGCCATGTGGGTGCTGGGATTTGAACTCGGGTCTTCTGCAAGAACAGTCAGTGTTCTTAACCACTGAGCTATCTCTCCAGCCCGGGAACATGTTATTTTTATAGAGAGGTGCCATCTGTGGGTAAACTAAGGACAGAGGACATGTCTGTCCTCTGGCTGTGGGCTGGGTCAACCTTTTCAGGGAACTCAGCCTGGCCTCCACTGAGTGCTGTCCTTTGTTTTTTTGTTTTTGGTCTTTTTGAAGCAGGGTCTCCCTGTGGCCCCAGCTGTCCTGGAATTCATTATGTAGACCAGGCTGGCCTTGAACTTACAGAGATCTGCCTGCCTCTGCCTCCCGAGTGCTGGGATTAAAGGCATGTACCACCACACCCGGCCCTTGAGTGCTGTCCTTTTAAGTGTGAGGAGAGGTATTAGTGTCTTGCCTTGTTACTGAGATCAAATACTTGAGAAAAGTGATCTAAGGGAGGAAAGCTCATTTTGGCTCACGGTTTCAGGGAGTGCAGCTTTATCTTCGTGGGGAAGGCATGGTGGCGGGAGCAGGTGGCTCTCAGAGTGCACCCACAGTCAGCAAACAGGTCCAGCTCACCTCCTTTTTATTCAGTCTAAGACCTCAGCCCATGAAATGGTGCCACCCACATTTAGGGTGCATCTACTCACCTCCATTAACCCAATGTAGAAACTCCCTCTTAGACTAAGGTTTGTCTCCCAGATTCTAGATCCTGTCAAGTTGACAGTATTCACCACTGGAGAGATCCTCACAATTGAAGACTTGCTGTTTTGGCAAGTAGTGAACACTGTTCTTGGTGCCAGGCCTGTGCCATGCCCAGGGGATTCTGTGCCGGGACACAGCCCCTGCCCTCACATGCACGGTTCCAGTGCAGCTTGGGGGGAGTACCAGGTGCCGTGGAAGCTCTTGTGTGTGAGGAGGATGTGAGGGGGGACCCTTAAGCTAGACCAAGGGAGGCTGGGAAAGGCCTGGCACTCAGGACAGGTGCGGCCTGTGTGTGAGTCTTGAGGGCAGAAAGCATGAGCCACAGAAGCATTAGAGCTTGTGATTGCTCTAGTGCCCCAGAGATTTTTTTAAGAAGCTCTGTGTGTGTGTGTGTGTGTGTGTGTGTGTGTGTGTGTTCACATGTGAGTCCCACAAGGCGTGCTATGGAGGTCAGTCTTTACTTCCTCCTTGTTTGAGACAGGGTCTTTCATTGTTTACCACTGAGAATGCCAGGCTGGTGGCCCATGAGCTTCCAGACACTTGCTAGGAGCAGTAGGATGACAGACACACATGGGTTCTGGGGATATGAACTCAGGTCCTGATGCCCGCATAGCAAGCCCTGTACCCACTGAGTCATTGCCCCCAACTCCTTTGGCCAGACTGGCAACGGGGCAAACCTGTGAATGAAGCCCTGACCGACTACCACGGGCGAGCACTGAGGGGCTGTTACTATATTAATCAAAATCAATTATTTTTATTTTGAGACAAGGTTTCACTATGCAGCCCAGGCTGGCCTTGAACTTGTTATCCTCTAGCCTCAGCCCCCCCCCCCAAGTGCTGGGATTTACAGACATGTGCTCCCACAGCTGGCTGGCTTTTCTCCATTTATTTTATTATTTCTTTATTTTTGGCAGTACTGAGGATTGAACGCAAGCTCTTCCCAGGGAGCTGCAGCCCCAGTGCTATCACCGTTCCTTACAGCTTTCTAATGCACTGTGCCATGTAAAGGTCATTTGGAAGTCATCTAAAATTCAGCTAGATGTGATTACTCATGGGGAAATGCATGTGCTAAGGATGGTGGGCTCAGCTGTGCGCATTCTTTATGCCCTCAGGATGTGTTCTTAAAACTGTCCGGGGCCCTCTGCTGCTCAGATACAGGGAATGAGATTACAGAGGGTTGATGAAGTGTCCGCATGGCGTGAACCACAGCAGAACTTTACTCGGGAATCTGGACGGTTTGGAAGAGACAAGGTTAGACGTGAAAACTGCTAAGTGTGGGTAACACTTTTAATCCCAGCACTCAGAAGGCAGACGCAGGTGGATCTCAGTGAGTTTGAGGCCAGCTTGGTCTACCCTAGCAAGTTCCAGGCTACATAATGAGACCCTGTCTCAAAAGGAAAAAAAAGAAGGGAAGGAAGGAAGGAAAAAAAGAAAACTACTAAGTGCAAGACTGACATAAACCAGATTTGACTGGGATGTGTCACTTGGGCCACCGCAGGAAAGCAAGCTGGTGTGAGGGCATGCAGTGCTGAAGACGGATTTTTAAAAAAATTATGTGTATGTGCGTCTGTCTGTGTGGATGTGGATGTGGATGTGTGCACATGAATACAAGTACCCAGGGAGCCCAGAGGCATTCGGTGGTTGTGAGCCACCCATTATGGGTGCTGGGAACTGAACTCAGGTCCTCTGCAAGAGCAGTGTGCATTCTTAACTGCTGAGTCATTTCTCTAGCCCCCTGGAGACATTCTTAAAATTTTTTTCTAAAAAAAGATTATTTTATTTATGGGGGGAGAGAGAGAGAGCAAGATCAAGCACATGCCACAGGGTATGTGTGAGATCAGAGGACAACTTACAAGAGACAGTTTTCTCCTTCTATTGTGGTGTGGGTCTCAGGGATTGAACTCAGACTTGGTGGCAAGCTCCTTTACCTGCTGAGCCCTCTTGCTGGCCCTGAAGACAGATTCTTGAGGGTGGATTCACCAGAGCCTGGCACCATGCCTTCATTATTTATCATAGAAGTGTCTGGCAGAGGAGTAACTAATGAGTTTCCAGTATTTTTCTCCAGAAGAGCTTAGCTGAGCCCACACAGTCTAACCAGGGAAGGTGTGGGATTTCAGAATAGGCTTGAGGGTGTGACACCTCCTGCTCAGCCTTCAGGACCTGGAGTTGGGATATTGCTTCAAGTTGGTCAAAACCAACATCATGGGAGGTAGGGGATACATACATACATACATACACACCCCCACCACACACATGAATAGTAAATAAAAACATGTTAAATAGTTCCAAATGTCCAGTAGAAAACCAGGCAAAGAAAAGGTGTTACTGTTTTGTTTTGCCTTTAATTACTGAAAACAGCAGGTTTTACATCTGTCCTATATTTCTTTGGTTTTGATATGCACCAGAGAGTCAGAACTCAAAGAAACCTAGGGACTCTCTTGTGGAGGATTCTGCTTGAAAGGTCAGATAGAGAGCCCAGGGAGCTTCTGGGAGACAGAGGATGGATTCACTGGCCCAGAGATTCGGCCCTTCCTGGAGTCCGTGCTGTGTGAGTTCCCAAAGCTTCTGTCTCTTCCTTGACTCCACTTGTTTAAGATACTTAACCAATGGGCAGCCTTCCATCGAGCGTTTCCCCATCAGCTTCAAAACCTACTTCTCAGGAAACTACTTCCACCACGTTGTGCTGGGAATTTACTGCAATGGCCACTATGGCTCCCTGGGCATGAGCCGAAGGGCTGAGCTGATGGATAAGCCACTGACCTTTCGGACTCTGAGTGACCTTGTCTTTGACTTTGAAGACTCGTACAAGAAATACCTGCACACAGTCAAGAAGGTCAAGATTGGGCTGTACGTCCCCCATGAACCTCACAGCTTCCAACCCATCGAGTGGAAGCAGCTGGTCCTCAATGTCTCGAAGATGCTGAGGGCCGACATAAGGAAGGAACTGGAGAAGTATGCCAGAGACATGCGAATGAAGGTGAGTGTGGCAGGACAGGTGAGTGGGTGTGACCTCTCCCACACGCACTGCTCACTTCATACATTATGGGACAAGATACCTGACTGAAGAAACAAAAACAGAACAGAAATCCCCCCACATTTACTGGGGTTCTTCCCAACTCAATCAAGTCCCATTAAGTTGAGAATCAGGAATAATCACATTTCTCTCCCTCTTTCTAGATGGTGGAAAGTTTTCTTGAGATTGTCTTGCTCAGTGACCACTCATTAAAATGAAAATGGGATTGTTTGATTTAGACGTTAGTCTCTCTTTGAACATGCAGCTAGGCCGTCTGCATCCACTCGCTTTCAACCAACTTTGAATTGAAAATATTTGGTTAAAACCTGCAGCTGTAGGATAGAGAGATGCTCAGCGATTAGAGCACTGACTGCTCTTGCAGAGGACCCGGGTTTGATTCCTAGCACCCACATGGCGGCTAACGACCATCCTAATGCCAGTTCCAGGGAACCTGACACCCTCTTCTGTCCTCCATGGGCATTGTACAACACAGGTGCACTTACATACATGCCGGCAATACACTCATACACATAAAATAATAAATAAAAAATATATAAAAAGAAACACTTGATGCTCTTTAAGAGAATGGGAGTTTTGTTCCCAGTACCCATGTTGGGGACTCACAACCACCTGTTACTCTAACTCCGGAAGATCCAATGCCCTCTTCTGACCTCCGTAGGCACCTGTACTCACATGCATATACATGAAGACACACACATTAAGCCTGTAACCTAATTTGCAGCTGTGTTGAATATGTACAGACTTTTTCTTGTTATTCCCTAAATAATGCAGTACATCGCCCCCTTATGTAGACTTTGTATGGCCTGGGGTACTGAAAATCGTCTGGGTGTCATTTGAAGGACACAGGAGTGTATAAGTTACATGAAAGTACTACAGCATGGATTTTGGTATCTCCCTGGAGTCCTGGAACCAATCCTCATGAGGACCGGAGGGGCAAATGTACTTCAAAAATCAGAGCAGAAACCATCTTAGATGTTAAAATGAAAGTAACATCTTAGCCTGCAATTTCTCCTATGAACTCAGATCTAAAAATGGTAGTTGTTTTATTCTGAGAGACTGGTTCTGTTGCTCAGTTTTTATAATAGGGTGACCGGTCATTCTGGTGTGCCTGGAACTGAGGGATCCCTAGGACATGTGCTTCTCAGGATGAGTCAGTCACCCCACTTTATGACCTTCTTTAGCGTTGCCCTGCATCTGTTCTGTGTTAGAAGTTACAAGGCCTTTTGGCATCAAATTCTAACCGGTGTCACGGTAACCAACAAGGAGGCATTTGCTGTGCTCACTTGGGTGGATGGCACCTGTTAGCCATTCTCCCCCCACCGGCACCTCCATAGTGACATGGTGCCAGCTGCTTCTTGTCCCTCCAGGGTCTGTGGTGTCACTGAGAGGAAGTGGGCATGTTGACTTCAGACTTGGTTATGTTGAGTCCCTGGGGACTGGTCATCTTCAAGACCTGGAGTGGAGAGTCTGATAAATTGAAGACCACGCGTCTGTTTCTGGGTGTGAGAGGGGACCATCAATAGAAGCTGGTTTCAGGGATACTATAAAGGAGAATTGCCTTCCCCAGGAGAGAAGCTTCTAAGCAAACACAGCATCAGAAGGCTGAGGTGCTGGGGGGGTCCCCCAGTCTGCCACAGAAAAAGGGACAAGATGTGATGATTTGTCCTCATCCTCCAGATAGTGGTACTGGTCCCTTTCCCCAGCGTGCGGTGAGAGGAGTGAATGTCCTGGGCTGATGGGTTGGGGTGCTGTGCTGTGGGAAGATGAGAGGTGGGGTGGGCTGGGGTTGGGGTGCTGTGCTGCGGGAAGATGAGCAGTGGGGTCCTTCAGGATCTAGTGTGGCTAACTCCTCATGTTTCCTTTAGATCTTGAAGCCTGCAAGTGCCCACTCTCCAACCCAAGTGAGAAGCCGGGGGAAATCCCTGTCACCTCGAAGAAGGCAAGCCAGCCCGCCCAGGAGGCTTGGCAGGCGAGACAAGTCGTGAGTGCCATTCCCTCTTCCCCAACACACGTTTATAGGGGTGTCCTGTGGGGATAAAGCCGTGTCCTCTCCAAGAAGACTAACCCCATTCAGGGGTCATGTGAGAACAGGGACTACCATTCAGTGCTTTGCTGTGCCGACTATGGGTGGAGTACACACACACACATACACAAACACACACACACATACACAGACACACACACAGACACACACACATGCACATGCACAACGTTTATAGGGGTGTCCTGTGGGGATAAAGCCGTGTCCTCTCCAAGAAGACTAACCCCATTCAGGGGTCATGTGAGAACAGGGACTACCATTCAGTGCTTTGCTGTGCCGACTATGGGTGGAGTACACACACACACATACACAAACACACACACACATACACAGACACACACACAGACACACACACATGCACATGCACACACACACACACACACACACACAATGACCTCAGAGGGGAGAGCAGCCCAAATCCAGGAATCCCGGCTCCCAGATTACCCTAGGGCTGGTAATGCCATGGTCACTCCTCAAGTCAAGATGACTCAAGTTAGGGCGTACTAGAGGTGCTCAGAGCCCAGCATCCAGCAGTGACCTCCCTGGCAAATCCTGGAGTCGTATCTGTGAAAATATACTGCTTTTAGAAATCACAGCAGTGTGCTGTCACGCCAGCCTCTTGCCATGCCCGGGGACTGTGACACAGGGGTCTCGGTGGAGCCCCAGCTTGACCACATGTTAACTAGGCAGCTGGGCAGACCCTTGGTCCTCGGGAGCCATAGATGCTAAGAACCCTTCCTCACCTCTCTCCCAACGTTGTTGAAGGGATTGCGTTAGACCATGTGATGGGAGTGGCCTGTTCATAGTGATCCACTTTCACGAATGCCTCTGACCCCAATCCTGCCCCCAGTGCTGACCTCTGTCCTTGACATCCACCGTCACCCTAGGCCTGGCTCTCTTTCTCTGATTCAAGCATCAGATGACCAGACTGCACTCCTGTCTCAGAGGCCTGGGAACACCAAAACCCTTCCCCATGGGTCAGTGGTGTAGGGCGGGCCCAGCAACAGGAGTGCAGGCCTGGTCATCTGATGGAGCTCCCATGTGCAGCAGGCAAGGGTCGAGCCACCTATAGAGGGCGCTCTTCCTTCCTTCCAGAGCATCGGATCCCTGCATGGGATTGTAGTTATTGGTGATTAGACTCTTGTTGGATCCACTGTACTTGGACCCACAGGAACTTTGCAGTCAGAGGCATGGGAAGTTCTTAACCAGAAAATGACATCAATACCATAACCACCCTGGAAGGGATGTGAAGACAATCAGGATGACAGCCAAAGTGATGGTGACAGTTTGATGTGGAGAGAGACAAGTGTGAGTTTAGACTGAGGACTCTGAGGATCTTCCTAGACATCCCAAGGGAATGTTCTAGAAACTAATGAAAATACAGAGCTGGAGTTTGAGGTCAGAGTTAAAATCAGAGCCAACCACTCAGAATGGGTAGTTCAAACAATAGCTGTGTCTATATGGTGGTAAGTAAGAGAAAAGAGGAAGAAGTGGGTGGCTCTGCAGAGGCCAGAGGAAGGCGCTGGACCGGAGGGGAGGAGGGACAGTGGCTCGGGGGTTTGCGCTACCCTTCTCTTCAGGTGACAGTGTTAGGCAAACACCCCTCCCGAAGCCAGAGGGGGCCTGGGAGTGAGAAGAAAGACCAGGGGAAGGCAGTGCCCCCCAAATCAACAAAGGAAAGTCTGCTGCAAGAGGGGCTTGTTTTCCACCACCACCCTCCCTCCTGCCCTGTGGCTTATCCCTGTCAGTGTGGGAGGCTCCTGGGGCACCACGGTAAAGACTCAGTGATAAAAGCATAAACTTCTCAAAAATTAATGTGGAGTAGGAGGCTCGGGGAGGAAGTCCTGAGGAACAGGGAGGAGTGGAGGGCACTGTGGAGATGTAGTATGACAGGGCTGAGCATGTGAAAGGGACCTCAATGACAGGGAGGGGGCTGGGAGGAGCTCACACAGAATAAGCCTTGAGCTGAGACCAAGGGACCCTGATTTCCAACCCCTGTGAACCAGCTTGTGACTTTGGACAAGCCGTTCCTCTGGGCCCTGGTTTCCTTGCCTGTGATGGAGGAGAGGGCAGCTATAGCAGATGATTCCAAGAGCCATAGAATGTAGTATTCCCTCTGAGATTTTTCTTTTCAGAACTGCAGAGAACAGTGTCTTTGGAGCAAACGGGAAATAACCAAGAGGAAGAGGTTACGGTTCAAGAATAAAGTGGTGAATTCAGGGAGCGAAGTTTTTGGGGATCCAGGGTCAGATGGGATGGGAAGCTGCAGTGAAGGCTTAGAGGTGGGGGTGGTGAGCAGTGGGACCAAAGGCAGGGAGGATTAAAGCTGGAGGTGGCTGGGGAGGCAGGGAAGCTGGTCTTGCCTTCAGTGGCCTTTGTTCTGTGGGGAAGGGAGAGAAGAATGCCATATCACCTGGTGAGAGTGAGGAAGGAGGGTTCCTGAGGGTAGGTGGGGCAGTGCCCAGGCCAGAGTCCTATTTGAGGGCTCCACAGACAGGCAGACCCAGGTTCTCAGAGTGAGCATCAGCTGAAGAGGCCTTGTGACCCATCTCCTGGAGTTTCAGAGTCAGCAGTTTGGGGACAGGAATTTGGTTTTTTATTTCTGATAAGTACTCAGGTGCTGCTGCTGGGTGTGGGCCACACTGTGAGATTCCCAGAGCCTCCTCCTGTAGCAGATCTCCACTGTCTACATTCAATGACCCAGAAAGGGAAATTGAGGCAAGAGGCTTACCTTAAAAACCAACAATGGAGTCTGGAGAGATGCTCAGTGGTTAAGAGCACTGGCTGCTCTTACAGAGGACCTGAGAGGTTCTGATGCCACCTTCTGGCCTCTGTGGGTATTGCACACTAATGGTGTATTTACATGCATACACTCATACAAAGTAAAAATGAATCATCTTTCAAACAGTAAGAACAACAACAAAGGTCAAGATAAAGGTGTTGAGGGCCATTCACTGTCTATCCTTGATGGTCTCAGCCTCGTCCAGGCCTGCCTGGCCTCTGGATGAGAAACTCTCCAGGTGAAACCTGACTGGCTCCTGTGGTTGGGCCTCACCATGTCCATCTGGTAAGTGCCAGCTGCTTGCTCTCAGGTTAGAAAGAGAAGCACTTCTCCTTGCCCCTGGCCCTAATCTCTACTACTTTGTCACGCAGCCAAGGCAAGTGGCCACGTCTGCTGTTAGCCACGGCTGTGGATTAAGCTTCTGGGTGCCAGGGCCCCATTTGTCCCCACCCCTCCTGACCCACTAGAGGGTCCAAGAATGGAAAGGCAAGGAGGGAGTGGGTCCCAGGTCAGAAAGGAGGACTTGTGGGAAGAGGGGTTTCCCTCCCATCACCTATCTCCCTCTGGGCCCCAAGGTCTATCCAAGGCCCCATGGGCCAGTGAAGCTATAAATCTCACAATAAGGTGAGGAGTGGTTGCACCCAACTGCCCACAACCCCCAGAGTCGAGCTGCTGCCACAGCCTTTTCTCCCCTGCAGACAGATTTCCAGGAATCCTAAATTCCTCCTAGTGGGGACAGAAGGGGAGGAGGCCCACAACTAGTCCAAAAGGCTTTGGAACAGTGTGGTCATGGCAAGCCCTGCAGTTAGTGGGAGCCTGACGCTCAAATCCTGTAAGATCTGGTTCTTTTCAGAAGCCTTGGTCCCTTCTTTTCTGCTTCTCCATATTTGGAGGGTCAGAGGAAACTCAGAAGATCGGAGATGGATGCCGTAGTTTAAAATACATTGAGTGGGCAAGGAGGAACAGACCTTCCCAGGTTCCTCCTAAGCCTGACTGCTGAGTACAGGCCTAGGGAAGGGCGGGTGGGGCTGCCGTGTAGGAGAGGGGAGAGATGAGAGAGGCAGAGGCAAAATGGAGAAGAGGGGGCCACAGAAGAAATGGGAGCCTCGAACCTTCCCTCCCTCTACCTAGTGCTTCTGCTGTTGCCACAGGTTAGACCAGCAGCGCTGGCATCTGGAAGTATGTCCATAGAAGAGCTTCTCCTTTCTTGCCCATAACCTTTGCCAAGCAGGCCCTTCCTTCAGCTGATCTAGCTTTCTATAAAGAAGGACAAGTTTGGTGGTGACCCAGTAACTTCCAGCTCCAAGGATCCTGTGTCAGCACCCAGGACTTGCCGCTGTTATTTCTGCCTTCCTGAAGGCCAACGAGTCCTTTCTAAACGGCTGGGTGCCTCAAGGAAGCCTGAGCGAGGATCAAAGGGTGGAAAATAACCACAATGGGCCCGTCAGCTGGGCCCCACAGATAATTTCAGTGGCTTACCGTCCCCCACCACCACCTCCCACAGCTGGAGTCATTTCCAGACCTGAATTTGCTTGCTCTTTGTACTTGCCCAAATAATCCTCCTGGAGGATCCTTGTCACTGGGTTGACACAGAGTCAGCTGAGTGGGAGGGTAAGAGTGACTTCACCCGCCTCAATTAAGATCAAGTTTCCGAAGACACAGCACCCTGCAGACAAGACTACCCCTCCCTCCCACCAGCCCCTCTCCTGCTCAACTCCCCTTCACAGACAAGACACCCCCTCCTCCTCTACTCACCCATCTCTCCTACTCTGCTCCCCTCCAAGTGGTTTCTTTTTACATTTTTACCGCATTATTTATTTATTATTTACTTATGAGCGTGGAGATCAGAGGTCAACTTTCAGGAGTCAGTTCTTTCCTTCTACCATGTGGGTCCGAGTGAGAGATAGAATTCAGGTGATCATGCTTGGCACCAAGTGCCTTTTACCTGTTGAGCCGTCTTACCAGTAGGTCTCCCCTCCAGATGTTTAAGGTACCTTCTACACAGAATAGTCAAGTTTTTCCCCTTTTTAACCCCATAGGGATGGAAGGGAGATGGAAAGTTGGATCCATGTTTCAAGACCTCTCTGTATTTCTTTTTATTTAATTTTTTGAGACAGAGTCTCCCTGTAGCCCCAGCTGGCCTGGAACTTACTGTGTA